ACAGACATAGGAAACACAGGGCTGCCACCAAAAAGTAGGCTGGGAAACTAGTTGCTAAATTCTACATAGTTAAGGAGTCAATAGTTAAGGAGAGGATAGTGGATTTGCACTGGAGAGGCCTGGATTAAAACCACTGCTCAGCCACAATCATCCCTGGGCCAATTCTGGGCCATGTTCACAATCTTGGGCCAATTACCATCTGTCAGCCTAACCTGGAAAGACAAAATGGGGGAAGGTCCAAGCATGCTAGCAGCACTCCTTGGATGAGAAGCGAGACGGAGCTGTTGTAAGCAAGGAGAGAGATCTGAGTGCCCCATCCCCCACCCTAGAACCAAGATGTGTGCTTTCATCTGGCCCTTCCTTTCCTGAATACCTATCTTGTTTGTGTGATCCTCATCTGCGCAGAGCATTTATGTTAGCCCGTTTTAATGTTCTCCCATCTATGGTGTTATACGGGAGATTTCAGAAAATTCCATATACAGATAGGTTGTGTCCATGTGGGATGAGTGAGATTGAAGATAACAATCATGTTATTTTGCATTGTACGTTTTATGATGATCTTCGTGCTGTATTTTTAAAGCCATTTCTGCTACCTTTGGAGGGTCGATCCGAGGATCGTAAGACCTTTATACTTTTATCCTCAAATAAGAGCGAAATCATTGAACCTGTTGCAAAATTTCTCTACCAGGCCTCTAGGAGGAGATGTTCTTTCTGACCACAGATTCCAGTGTATTTTATTTGGATTTGTGCTGTAATGCCAATAAATGTGTGTGTGTGTGTGTGTGAACCAAAATGTATGCATGGCAAAAGACTGTAGTCTCCTGCTGTTTTAGGATTAGGCACTTTACACAGGCTCAGATGCCTCTACATCTCTTGACAGCCAGTGTGGTGAACTGGTTAAAGTGCTGTACTAGGGTCTAGGAGACCAAGGTTCGAATCCCAGCTCTGCCATGGAAGTGTGCCAGGTGACCTTGGGGGCAATCACAAACCCTCAGCCTAACCTACCTCACAGCATTGTTGAAAGGACAGAATGGGGGAGGAGGGAACGGTGGACCCCATGGGAGAGAAAAGCCGGATTTGCATGTGTGTGTGCTGTCAAACAGTAGCTGGTTTATGGTGACCTCATAGGGTTTTCAAGCCAAGGGATCGACAGAGGTGATTTGCCATTGCCTTCCTCTGCAGAGCTTTCCTTGGTGGTCTCCTATCCAAATGCTGACCAGGGCCGAGCCTGCTTAGCTCTGGGATCTGATGCGATCTGGCTAGCCTAGGCCATCCAGGTGAGGGCAAAGTAGGATATGAATGAGAAAAATAAAAAAAGCAATGATCAAGTCACAGGATTCAGGGCTCAGTGTTTTAAGAGTTTCAGAGCAGACGATTTGCCAAGTCAAGGCTCAGCTTTGATTTTGGCCCAGGCAAAAGAAGAAGAATAGATATTGGATTTATACCCCACCTGTGCTGACTTGGCTGGGAGCCACTGAGGTGATAAGCTAGAAGCTGAAAACACAAGCCGAAATCAAGGTCAGCGAGAAAGCCAAAGGTCCGATAGCCGTGAAGTCGTTTCAAGAATGCAGGTTTCCAGAGGCAAGGAGCGACTGCTGCACACTCAGAAGCAGGTCTGATTTTGCAGAGTTGTTGCCGTGCTGGAGCAGATGCACCAAGGGGTTTTAAACAGATCCTCCCACCCTTTGGAGTTGAGTCTGCAGAGGCTTACAACTCCTCTCGTTGATGTTGTTGGAGCTGCAGCCTGGCACTTCTTCTTCGTTCCTGCAAAGTCAGCCTCTGCCGTGCCCTATGTCTGGGGCACTCGGGGGAACTGGGCCTTGGGGAGTCTGGCCTTGGGGTGTCTGCAGCTGGGGTTGCTGGCCCCGGCTCAGGAATGGTCTCTCCTTCTGGCGGCACCTCTTGTGCAGCTGCTGGGGACTCCTCCTCCTCCTCAGGTACTGCTGAGAGTTCTTCCTCTGGGCTGTCTCTAGAGGAGTCTGAGTTGTTCCCTGCCTCCTCCTCATCTGAGGAGGGGTCAGCCTCAGCCAGACCCATACCCACAACCAATGTTCCCTCTAACCTACGGAGTCTTGTGAGCAAAAACTCTACTTTGTGAGCTACTAGCACTAAAGTTGTGAGCAAGTGATTTGGCTACTGCATAAATTAGTTTGCTCTGGAGCCATATTTCCTGAGCTAAGACAAAAATGTGTGAGTCGGAGGCTAAAAAACTGTGAGCTAGCTCACACTAACTCAGCTTAGAGGGAACACTGCCCACGACACCCCCCTTCACTACCTGAAGGAGTCTCAGAGCGGCTTATAATCTCTTTCACTTCCCCTCCATACAACAGACACCCTGTGAGGTAGGTGGGGCTGAGAGAGCTCTGAGAGAAACTGCCCTTGAGAGAACAGCTCTGAGAGAACTTATGACTGACCCAAGGTCACACCAGCAGTTACATGTTGAGGAGTGGGGAATCAAACCTGGTTCTCCCAGACGGGGGTCCACACTCCTAACCACTACACCAAACTGGCTCTCACCCGTAGGACTTGGCATCAGCGTCTCAGTTAAACCGGGCTGCCCATGGCGAGCAGCTTTGTTCAAATGAGATGCTATGCCAGGGGCAAAATTCCATGAGGGGAGTCCTCTTCCGTTAGCCAGCTCCGAGTTTCAGTCAGGTCTCTGGTTAATGGACAGAAGGAGGAGGTGGGTGAGAGCCGGTGAAGGAAGGAGAGAGAGAGAGAGAGCGCTTTTTTAGATTCTCCGTCTCGGTCCAGCTGGTGGCCTTTCCAAAAGGGCGACTGCACCGTTCAGGCACCTGCAATAGCCTGATAAAGCGTTTCCCAGCACTTGCCGAGGAAATTATGTCAGCAGTCGGCCTGCAGACAGAGATGGTCCCCCCCCCCTCCGAGCTCATTCGGCTTGCGAACAGCAATAACAGAAGTTTGTGGCTCGGTCATCGTCCGCAAGGCTGATTTTCGTGCCTCTGCATTCCGCAGCCTTTTAATCGCCCCGGACTCACCAGGCTTCACGTCCTCAGCAGGTTCTTCCCCCTCCTCCCTGCCATCTAGGCATGGAAAACAAATAAACTCCGCTTGCTATTGTTGAGGATGGTAATGGGAAAAACAGCATGAAGTCAGCGCTCCAATCAAAATCCGGGCGCGTCCAGAGAGCTCTCATTTGGAGTAAAGCCAAGTGCTACGTCGGCTATGTGTTTCCAACTTCTGCTGCATAGACAGGCCAGAAGCCAGAGCCCTTGTTGGTTGCCCGTCCATCTGCACAACCAGCAGGGCCCGATGGGGGGCTCCTGTTGGCAGTGCCATCTGCATGGGATACCTTCTTTGCTCTCAGCTCAAGGCCGACCTGGATGCGAGCTGAAAGTAATGAATTTAGGGGTGTTTTGAACAAAATATGCCACCCAAGTACCCTCATGTCAGTAGCACCCATCTTCTTGGGGCAACAAAAGCAACGGAATGTGCCACCAAGGTGGCACTCAGCAGGCACAAGGGGTTTTTTTGAGTGATTATCCTAGGCTTTGGCAATGCCACCTTCTCTTGTTTGCTGAAGACAAGGGGTCAAATGGGCATGGAAGCTGGCATGCAAAAGTCTGCTAAGCACACTCCTGAAAGCCCACACCAGCGGACAAGAAAGTCAGCTAAAGTCGCAAGGAGGAGGAGAAGTCAACATGACACAACTGAGGCAGGCGTTATCGCTCACTTCTTGCATGTTACAGGCACTAAACCAGGGGGCCTGTTGTCCAAGCTACCAACCCATAAGGGAGGCTGCCCTCTGCATCTCTGCATGATTTCCTGCTCTGACCTCTAATTAACCAGTTTCATCCACCTAATTCAATCCATCATTTGATTGCTGTATCCAGGGCTTTTTTGGTAGAAAAAGCCCAGCAGGAAATCATTAGCATAATAGGCCACACCCAACAGCAGAAACATATTAGCATATTAGGCCACACCCCTGACAGCACAGCATATTAGGCCACACCCCGTGCCTTCCCTTGGCTTGCCTAGGTGCCCCGTGGCTGCGGGGAGCCAAGGCAAGCCAGCCCTTGGCTTACCGGGGCGCCCCGCGATTGCAGGAAGCCCGGGCAAGCCGGCCCTTGGACAGGCCGGGGACGGCACAGGGAGGCATTTAAATGCCTCCCTGATCCTTCCAGAGGCCCCCCCTGGCCCGCCCATCCTAGAGTCGCCGGTGGGGGCCACTCTCCAGGCCTTCCCTCTGTAGCCACGCACACAGAGGTTTTGGCTGTAGTGGGCGTGGCCAACTCTGAAGCCAGCCGGAACTCCGTTCCTGTGTGTTCCTGCCAAAAAACAGCCCTGGCTGTATCCAATTGCAGATTCTGGAAAACGCACAACAACCAGATCATTCAAATGGAACCGTTAACTTCTAAATCATAAAAATACTTTTAAAATGCTCACGTTTCTCCTGTTATATGCTGCACGATCCATATTGCCAAGTTTCATAATAAAAACAAAACATGAAGCACAGAAACATCTTTCCCTATATCCATGGACACAGCATCTTTAGGAACAGTCGCCCTTGTAACTATTAAGAACCCCGACCTGCGTAAAGCCATTCCATGGACACGCATAGGTTCTTGTGCTGATATTAAATTCCACTGCCTTTTCAGAATAATTGCCATACTATTTATGTAGCATCCTATTCATGAGCTATTCATAAGTCATGCTTACTTGTATATTCCTGGGAGCATCATGTAGAAGACTAGAGGTTAGATCCTACAGATCCCTTTGTCTAATAGCACCTCCACCCCAGTAACAAGCATCTCCTTCAAGTCTCTTGTGACCAGGGAAGACTTTGTGCACTGGGCAAAGCCTCCATTTTCAGTATGGCTCCACGGCAGCCAGCCCCAAGTACGACACGATACTATCATGCTCAGAATTTCCCTGGGCCTTGTAAGCAGCAGCCAATCAAGTACACTGGAAGCCATGGGACTGGTTCTCTGGCCAAGCCACCCCAGCAACAATGAAAGACAAACAAAAAAACCTCCCACCTGCAGGGACAGCTCGCTTGCGTTTAGGTCCAGAATCCCTCCATCCGAAAGCCGAGCTCTGTACTGTCCTGCTGGAAAAGGAGAGTCTACTCTCGGAAGCGGGTTCTCCACCTTGCTTTCCGTTTTGGATGTCTCCGGCGGTATCCCGCCCACTTCCATGAGGGCGCAGTGTCCGTTCTCGCGGTCAGTCCTGGGGCTGCCTTTGCTGCCCTTTGCCTCCTTGCCACCGGAGGATGTTCTGGTGATGACCCCAAACTTTCTGGTCCTTTTGCCATTTTGGGAGGCTTTCCCACTGGGCTCGGAGGTGGGCCTGGCTTTGATTTCGCTGCTGTTGCTGTTGTTGCCGTTCGACGGAGGAAGGGGGGCCTTGCGCTTGATGCGACGCAACATGATCAGGTAGATGAAGCCGCCATTCCAGCACTGGTCAGCAAGGTAGCTGCAAGGCAAGGTAGAGACACAGGGATTAAAAACTTTCCACCTTAGAAGGCTGGCAAGAGAGGTCCACGTGACAGTCAGAAGCCTGGAGCTTTGCCAGCTTGCTCCTCGTGTGGGTTTTGTCAACATTCCTGCGTACATCAGAACACCACCCGCTTCTCTCCTGAATTTCCTGTAACTCTTTGCAGGCTGATTTCACATTAGCAGCAGTTTGGGTTGCTGAAATTAAAACAGCACCCTAAATTTGAAAACAAAACAACCCCCCCAACACCTTAGAGTCTACTTTGTTGGATTCACAAAAAGTTTATTTTCTAATTCATGTTATTATTTTATTTACATTATACATAGACTGCATCTCTCACTGGGACTCAAGGCAGATTAGACGGAGTATGTCAATGCAATCAACCGGATGGGGCATCCAATAAACAAGGCGATGGGATTGGGATTGGAGAAATCTGAAACCAATCGGAAACCTGAAAACTGAACTGAAGCAAAGCACAATAAGTCTTTGAAGGCGCCACAGGCTCCTGTTTTTGCTACAGCAGTCTATTTGGAAAGCGACTGAGAGCCTTGTCGTTCTACTTTTGTTTGGAATTTAAAAAAAAAAATCCTTCAGTGCTGAAAAGGAAGAGACAAACAATTGCACTGACAATGTGGGCTTCCAGGCCATTCGGACACTAGCAAGAATATTACGACATGATCGTATTGCCTGCTTAGTTCCAGTTTCCCACAATTATCCCTAAGCAGCACTTCAAAGGCACAGAAGACACCAGTGGTTACCAGTATGGATTCTGTCTCTAGCTTTTGGGAGACTGAAACCTGCCCTGACACACATACAATCAGGTCACCTATATAATGAGCAGTAAAGGTTAGAACAGATGAAAGGAACTACTTCTTAAGAACTTAAGAGACACCAATGTTGGATCAGGCCAAAGGCCCATCCAGTCCAACACTCTGTGTCACACAGTGGCCAGAAATACCAGGTGCCATCAGGAGGTCTACCAGTGGGGCCAGGACATTAGAAGCCCTCCCACCGTTGACCCCCCCCCCCAAGCACCAAGAAGACAGAGCATCACTTGCCCCAGAGCCCCTATCTATACCTTGTGGCTAATATCCACTGATGGACCTCTGCTCCATATGCTTATCTAATTCCCTTTTGAAGCCATCCATGCTTGTAGCCGCCACCACTTCCTGTGGCAGTGAATTCCATGTGTTAATCACTCTTTGGGTGAAGAAGTACTTCCTTTTATCGGTTCTAACCCGACCGCTCAGCAATTTCATTGAGTGCTCACGAGTTCTTGTATTGTGAGAAAGGGAGAAAAGTACCTCTTTCTCTACTGCTCTATCCCATGCATAATCTTATAAACCTCAATCATGTCACCCCCTCAGTCGTCGTTTCTCCAAGCTAAAAAGCCCTAAGCACTTTAACCTTTCCTCATAGGGAAAGTGTTCCAACCCTTTTATCATTCGAGTTGCCCTTTCCTGCATTTTTTCCAAAGCTATAATATCCTTTTTAAGGTGTGGTGACCAGAACTCCACACAGTATTCCAAATGAGGTCGCACCATTGATTTATATAGGGGCATTATGATATTGGCTGATCTGTTTTCAATCCCCTTCCTAAGGCAATACTGACCTTCACAGACCAAGGGTCTGATTGAGCAGAAGGCAGCTAGATGTGTTCATGTTTCCGAAGTTCAGTTGTTGGCAATGCTCCCTCTAAGCCATGGAGTCTGTGAGCAAAAATTCTACTTTGTGAGCTACTGGCATTAAAGTTGTGCGTGAGCGATTTGGCTTCTGCAGAAATTAACAACTTCGTATCATCCTCAAATTTAGCCACTTCACTGCTTACTCCCAACTCCAAATCATTAATGAACAAGTTAAAAAGCAGTGGACCAAGTACTGATCCCTGCGGTACCCCACTGCTTACCACCCTCCACTGAGAAAATTGCCCATTTATACTCACTCTCTGTTTTCTATTAATTAATAGAATTGTATTCTTCACCCAAAGAGTCATTAAAGCGTGGAATTCACTGCCACAAGAAGTGGTGACAGCTACAAGCATATTTATTAAGAAGCTGAAAGGTTAACTGAATACAAATCAGGGGGCCCAATATTAAAATCAGAAAATATACAGCATCAATATATAGACAGTACAAATTATACAAAAATACTTGTATTTATTACAAATTGATTTAAAAACAGTTGAAGGCCCAAATATAGCCTTAATAAAAATTCAAATCATACAATGTTCACAATTAGGCCTGACCCTAAAATATGACCCTAAAACAGACACGTTTCGGCTTACTGGTCTTCAGTGGTCAAGCATGAATGTTACACAAAGGCTCAATTACTGCACCAATAACATTAATTAATATAGGACCAAGTGAAAATTATGTTCTGATAAATATCAGTGACTCAAGGCAAAGATGTACTATATAGGCTTCCTATGATATTGCCTTTTGTCCAAATCAGAAACATGTAACCCAAATGGTGTTTCAGTTGTGTACCTTCCTATTTTGGTCCAAGACATTCAATTTCAAAAGTAATATGGAGCCAGTGTGAAACTCAACACCTTGACTTCTGCTGCTGTTACAGAATATTCATAAACATTCTGAGGGAATGAAACGTAACAACAGAACGTTAGCAAATGTCAGCAACTGGTTCTTTACTTGCTGCACCACTGAGATAGCTAGTCAGAGGAGAACAGCAACATACTTCCTTCACTTAGCACAGTTCTTTAATATGCTAATGGTCAAGGGAATATGCTGTGAGTCAGTTTCTCATTCAACTCTCACCTTGAATTCTCTGGATGATCTTTCAGCCCCAGCCCCCCAGTCTGTGATACTGGGATAACAATACTGGCCTGTCTCACAGGATTGTGATATACTTTACTGAGATAATGTCCAGATAGCACTCTGAGCGCACACAAAAAGCATTCTGCCAAAAATTAATAGCCTTGTTTTTGAGAGTAAAATGCATTGGAAGTGGCCTTAAGATAAATTTACCTGATTTGGATCAGTGGCTCTTATTGTAATTAACTGCTCAGAGAGCTTCTTCAGTTTCAGAATTTTGAACCATTCAGAGATTCTACAGGAGATGGAACAGGTCTTGCATCCGCTCGACCGCTAACAAATCCAGATTTTACCAGTTCTGAGAAAAAAGAGTTCAGGGACGGATCTCTGTGTGCCATCAATTTGTACAAAAGCCTTTAAACATGTTGACACAGAGAAGCTGGTAAGTAGTCACAGCGGTAAGCTGGACAGAAGCCCGATGGCCTCCGGCAATGAGGAACTCAGCAGATCTTAACAGGCAGAGGGAAACCAAGGTGCTGAAAAACAGGTGTTGGTTATTTGAAGAGAATTTTCCCACCCCCTCAGGAGAGCGGCTGTGGCTCAGTGACAGAGCACACGCTTGGCATGGACACCCCGTAGGGTTTTTAAGGCAAGAGATGAACAGAGATGGTTTGCAATTCCTGGGTCTGCGTAGCAAACCTGGTATTTCTTGGTGAAATCCCATCCAAATACTACCTATGGCTGACGTTGCTTAGCTTCCAAGATCTGATTAGACCGGGCTAGCCTGGATAACCCAGGCCGGGGGCGGGGGAGGAGAGAGGAGATGGATTTATACCCCACCCTTCACTTGGAGCAGGGGTGTCAAACATGCAGCCCAGGGGCCGGATCAGTCCCCTGGAGGGCTTCCATCAGGTCCGCAGTGGAACTGGCCATCTCCTGCTTCCAGCTCTGCTGCTGCTGCTGCATCATAGCTTGCTTCGCCAGACTCTCTTAATCGCTCAGCCATTTCATGTTTTAACCTGGGTCCTAGACTCAGAACTCTGAGCATGAGATTTCTGTGGTGAATGTCAATAAATCAAAAGTAGGTTTGCAGCTTACAGAGCTAATGTTTTAAGCGTGTTTTTATTTTAAGTAAAAAGAAATCTTTGTGTTTGTGTCCTTTATAACGTTTATATCTCTGCTACCTGGCATTACATTTTATGACACACATGGCCCGGCCCAACAAGGTCTCATTTATGTCAGATCCGGCCCTCATAACAAATGAATTCGACACCCCTGACTCGGAGTCTCAGAGCAGCTTACAATCTACTTCCCTTCCTCTCCTCACAACTGACACCCTGTGATGTAGGTGGGGCTAAGACAGCTGTGAGAGAACTGCGATTGACCCAAGGTCACCCAGCTGGCTACATCTGGAGGAGTGGAGAATCAGACCCGGTTCTCCAGATTACAGTCCACCGCTCTTAACTACTACACCAAAAACAAACACCTGCTCATCAGGTAGTAAATGTCAGACACTGAACCAGGTACATTATGTGTGCAAAGCAAGTTAACCTCCACTGGGCTCCTCCCAGCCACAACTGTGTATTCTCTAAGAGAGCCATCTCAAGCCGGTCTACTTGGAAGCCTACTCAAGTCTATTCAATGGGGCCTACTTATATGAAGCTGCCTTACACTGAATCAGGCCATTGGTCCATCAAGGTCAGTATTGTCTGCTCAGACTGGCAGCAGCTCTCCAGGGTCTCAGGCCGAGGTCTTTCCCATCACCTACTGTCAGGTCCTTTCTAACTGGAGATGCTGGGGGTTTTATTTATATTTTATTTATTTATACCTTCAATTTATATACCGCTCTAACCTAACAGGTCTCTGAACGGTTTACAATTTTTTCCAGATTTCCCTAACTAGGGCCACATTGTGTAGGGTCGTGTCAGCCTACCAGCACCCCGGGCTTGTTGTTTTTCTGGCGTCTCCAGCGGGCTTCCAATGGGCTTCGGGTGTCAGTGTCCTTCTGGCATCCTCTCCTTGGAGCAGGTCTTTTCCGGGCAGCTTCCTCCGGCAGGCCTCACCCCGGCGCGCGGCCCTGCGTCAGCCGCTGCTTCACCTAACGTCCTTGATGGCTCCGCTGCACCGCACGTCGCCGTGCTCTCCGAGCCTCCGCCTCTGACGTTGCTCCATTGGGATGCCAGGAACCGCTCGCCGATCATTCCGTCG